AACGTTCAATACCAAAAGCACGTATTGCACGCGAAAAACCGAACACTTGCGAACTAATGAAGGCTTTTCTTACTGCTAGTGTGCGTCCATCTGATAACTCGCTGTACTCAACTATTTCATCCACTTTCTGAAAAATGGAAAATTTACTAATAAATAGAGTAAAACATTTTTGTTACATAATTATCTTATACATAATATAAATTATTTTTAAACTTAATATTACTGTCTGAAAATTCAGATAACACCCAAAGAAAGATCTGGCCTAAGCAGATTCTTGTTGTGAATATTATCATGTCATATTTAAATATTTTTGCTTTTTAAATAAAAATAAAATTGAAATAGAATAAAATTTTAAAGTTATTAATATACACTAAGTTCAATTATTTGTACTAATATAATGAGATATATCGTAGGTATCATTCTCTTGAGCTATGTACGAATACAGTACTAACTATAAAACTTCCCATTAAATTTTTGTAAGAGTCCAAAGGTCACGTACGTTAATATTATTAATATTTTATGCATAGAAACTGTTTCTATACAAAATATATATACATAGAAATTGAAAAACATTAAAAAAATTCAATTTACTGCTTTATAAATTCTAGAATCTATAACTTTAAATTTAAATAAATAAAAAATCGAATACTAAATAAGTTATTAAGATTAAATTCACACGTCTCTTCTTACCCTTACAACATCTAAAACGTGGAATTTTAAGAAACTTATTCACCAGCTTACCATTATTTTTTTAAAACCTATATTTCTTGTAAAAGTAATTAGCGTTTTCTTTTTTGGATCGAGTACTGAATCTTCTATAATTTTAACTGGCACATTCTTATAAAATCGCTCTCCCCATTTAGGTACTGGATTGGTTTTAGACAACAAACGCCGAGAATATAGTTTGCCTTCCCGTACTTCTCGACGAATAGTATCCTCCGTGAGAACATGTGAGCTGCAAATAAAAATTATTTATGTAAGTTATATGCGACATACGAAAAAACGATTACCATTTACCTTGAGGGATTCGGATAACGATTCCAGTAAGCAACAACAACTTCTCTCCAAGTGTAATCAAACACTGTTTCCATTTTATATTGTGATGCGGTGCTCATTATTGGATTTTTACTTTTATTTATGTATAAGACCAGCTCAAATTATGTTATTAATGTTTACTGACATGGAATTTTAAATTAATTTTTCTTTAGTTTCGTCTGAGTTAATAAATGCAATTGTTCCATGTAAATGTTTCTTACAAGTTCGATAACTTTATGAACCGGCTAACACTTTCGCTACTGTTATGCAGTTTGTCCCTGAACTAAATTAATTAAAAATAGCAAAACTGCAAAATAAGAGACAATAAAAGAACAAATTAAGTTAAAAATTTATGAGAATTAAGTGCATAATTTACATTAATTCAAAGTCGGGTGTTTAGCAGCAATGCTACTAAAACATCCGCTAACAGTTGTATTAATTTATTTTTTCATTTCACGGCTTTTTAACAAAACCGCACACTCTCACTTTTAGTATAAAATAATTTTGAAAATTCCCTATCAATAAAGAAACGTGATCAAATACATGCAATGAACAGAATTAAAATTTTGACATTTTCTCTTACATCAAATTTATCAATTTGTGTATTAATGGTGCTGCCATATAATTATTATTTAATTGTTTGGAAATGGGCAAATTTCTAAATCGTCTCTAATATATAAAATAGAGACGATGTATTGAATTGTAAATAATTGACAAATAAAAATACATTAACCTTTGTGTTTTGAAAGACAACACCAACAAAATCACATGATATATCAAATGCAACTATGAAATTGTTTCTGATTTTTGTGAATATGCCACCTTTATCGATTAGTAGTGGCAAAGATAGTTTCTCTATATTATTTACAATTGCAGAAAAACACATATTGTAAATAATATATTTTAAAACATTGCCATTTACAAATTTTACTTAATAATTTATTTATAAAATTTCCTGAAAAAATATTAAAGAAAAAAGTGTGCTATGTATTTAAAACGATAATTAATCCAAATTTTTGTTAATTTATGTGAACTTTTAAAAATTGTGAACTGTGAATTGTTGTTTTTGTTTTTTGATTTCAGATGTCAGTTTAAAATTTTTGAGAGCTAAAATTACAATAACTCTCGTGTGAATACAGTATAAAATGTTGAAATTACTTTTAACTTACTAAAAACACTTTAACTTCATCTGGCATGTGTACTTGTTATTATTAGTGGTTAATGTATTCAACATACAAATTGCATATACTAGTTAGCGCTAGATAGCGTGCGTAGTTTTTTGTTAATGAAATTAATGTAATAGTTTACAACTTTCAATTTCAATATTTAAAGGTATGAGTTATGTTGGTTTAAAGCGCAGTGGAGAAAATTCCACAAATTACATGGCTTCACTATAATCTATTAGCAAATGTATCTCATTTTATTCGTTATATAATTTGGCTGTATTTATAATATGATAAATATGTGTTTAAGGTAACGATAGCATTACTAAGTTAATTTAAATATTTGATTAATTTGTTAGGGTTTTAACATATTTACTTCTACAAATGTTGTTGTGCCTATATTTTTTTGATTTATTGTACGCAAACATACCCAAAACAGCGGAAATATTTTGTCATTATAAGATCTTCATGATTCTGTGAAATCACTTTCACATTCTATAGAATTTTACTGTTGTCTTGTACAAGGGCGGTTTGATAAGTCAGTGACTTTTTGAATATCCTGCACAGTTACTCCAAATGCAACAGTGCTGCCATCAGCTGTAATCTACTAGTGGGCAACTTTCTAATTTTGAGCAAGCTACATCGTTCAGTTGGTGTTTTATAGCCGTTCAAAGCAGACAACCTCGTGACTTTTTACGAAAATGGAAAAAATTAAATTTCGTGTGCGGATTAAGCATTCGTGGCCAAAATCCACGAATTGGAATACGAACTGCTACCCCATCCAGCATATTCTCCAGATTTAATCCCCTGCGACTATTTTCTGTTTGCAAAAAGAAATGGCTGGGCGGTAAGAGATTTCAGTCGAATCGAAGAAAGAAGAAGAGATTTGAGAAAACCTATTAATTGGAGGGAATAAGAAAATTAGAAAAACGCTGGACTAAATGTATCGAGCTAAAAGGTGATTATGTAGAAAAATAAAATATTTATCTACCGAAAAAAGTTTGTTTTATTCAAAAAGTCACTGACTTATCAAACCGCCCTCGTATATTATAATGTGACCATATATGTAGTTATATTTCTATCAGTTGTATAAAATAACTATATATTACAGCAATAATAATTATAGTATTAAAAGTACGACGGAATCGTTCACAAAATATTTTTATTTTGCAGTAAATGGAATCATCGAAAACCAACGTGTGAGACTTGAACCCACTAAACCACCTCTTAGGAATGAAATGAGAAGATTTTCAAAGCAATGAGGAAAATTCATTCCAATAGACGAGAGAGAGAGAAAAGAGTGAATAGATTTAATACCTAGCTAGGTTCACCTAAATCAGAAAGCATGGGCATAAAATAGGGAGATGGGGAGGTGGTGAAGGGGATAAGGATATAGCACAAGCGCGGAGGTACTAAGATGAACTCTGTGACCAGAGTCACGAGAGCCACGGTTATATAGAGCAATGATGGAAGGATCGGAGTTCCAAATGATGGAAGGACCGGAGAGACTTCACAAAATGATTAAGTGATTAATAAAGTCACATATTTATAATATTCATAGTCAAAACATGCCTTTGTCAATATGTGTTTATAAAACATATTCAATATAAATTGTTTAGAGTTTGACCAAAAAGAGTGCTGGAGAAAAAATGTTTTCAGATTTGTTCAAAGTTTGTTTAAAATGTGTATTATAAATATATAATAATGCAAAATATTTGAAATATGATTTTTTCTGTTTTAAAGTAGTTAAAATACATAGACGAAATTCTTTGATTAGAGTTCAGTTTCTTTCTCATCTAGAGAACCACAACCAACACATAGGTTGTTAGAGAGTATACAGAGTTCTATTACAAGCCTTCTTAATACGCAGTAGCCTGTCAACACCGCAATTGAAGCAACTAACTGGTAAGTCTTTTATCCAGTTTGGATAAGAAAAATCTTGTGATCTGTCAAAAACCTTTACCTACCCAACTTTATATTGCTACTTTGAGTTTAATTACCAATTAAACGTAATTATCGTTATCAAATTTATCTGATTGAATAATTAGAGTTCCATTATCAAGAAACGACTTTTCAGAAACTAGCGACTTGAACATCTGATTTGTAAACCTTTTGCTGCCCTTAAATAGGTCAAATGATTGTTCTTTGAGAATGACAAGTGCTTCACGAAAGCCATGGTTGGGATTATTATGTGCATATCAAACCATACGTTCAACACGAATAACAAGTTACCATACATTCGTAATGACAATAATAAGTATCAAGTTCATTATAAATATATAACATTTTCAATGTTTAAACTAACCTCTGCTTAAAAGCATTACCACAAATGGTTTAATATATAGAACAGCTATAAACATCAATGAGAATGAAAAAGAGTTATTAGAATACAATATTTCATTGTACATACATATATCCTGAAAAAGTGAAGGCACATGAGCGCTCAACAGCTATGTACCCATGTCTAACAATTGTTAGTTTAATTTTTTTATTTAAAAAAAAAATTTATTAATTTCTTTTCAATGTTAAACATTTTCAACGTAAATATCCTTAAAACTTTGTTAAATAATGAATATTAACTGTAAACAATCTGCCATAAATTGTTTTCGACGCTGAACTGCTCATTTAGTAAATATTTAACTTTACTAACAAAAAGTATCTGTTGTGTTTGGCAACCTAATTAAATTTATTAATATTCTTTCAAAAAATCAATATAAAAAATAAAATTACCATGAAAATTGTTACAACCAGGGAGGAGGAGAGCATGCAAATGTCAAAACTGTTAGTGCACTGTAATTGCTTTTCATTGGTTTTCGAGTTTCCTCTTTCAAATGGGTCACCTTATTTTAATAATTTGTTGCCTGCCCCTATTCAGAAATATAGGTTGCCTGCATTAACCGCATGTTGGCTAGTGGTTCGGGGGTTCGGAGGTTGTGGTAGCGGAATATGTGATTAATGTTCTTGTTTTTTACTATATTGATTATTGGAATTCACCGTTTATTCATTGACAAATTACCACTAAACAGCACCACATGTGTTTTGGAAGACCTTTTATGTAATTGACATTGACATTACACTTATCTGTCCATATATTCCATATATATATATATATATTGTAGTGTTATAACTGCGGAAGACTTTGTGTTCTAGTTGACACTTTTTCTGTTTTGATTTTTATTTTATCAGTTAACTAACTTTACGGTTTTTTTCTAATCAGTTGGGAAAATTCGGAATTTTTAATACATAAAAAATAGAGAAAGATATTGATACAAAGATATAATAATACATATATATAATAACTATTGATGGGAAGATATGCTTATACCAGTACACTCCACATTTATAATTATTTATTAATTTTAAACAGCAAAATAGGGTAATCTTTGTCGAAAAGCAAATTTATTATTTTTTTTAGAAATAAACCATATAGGACAAATATTTTACTTTCGTTTCGCTTAATTTAAGCGATCTATCTTGAAAATGAACATTGACAATTTATTGAATTACATAATTTTGAATTTTAAATAAATATTACTACATAACATATAAAAGTTTTATCGAAAATGATATAGTGGGTGATTTCCTTACAATATCATGAAACACGTAACATACTACTTAGATACAATTATAGCAAATTAACTCAGAGATCAGTCAAATAATCAAATAAATAGCAGGAGAACGTGTGGAAAATATTCAATACTTCGAATAATTTGGCAGTGACCTAACTCCGAAAGGTGGTATTATAAAATTTTATTAAAATCAACAATTCGGCATTTTACTGGGCTAATACTATTATAGTTTAATACTCGTTGGTTGGTTGGTCACTCCCCAAGAGTCTAATTTGAGCTTCCGCACAGTTTTTCTGGTACAGCTTCACTAGCAACTGATTATACAGTAGTTTATCAAAGCATTACTGTTAGATTAAATCTATGCGGTCTAAGAACTTCTAACGATCGTTTATATTAATTACCACTAACTAGCCAAGATTATTAAAGAGATATTTAAAAAAAGTTATTTCTTCTATCTAATTGTAGCTATAACGTTAAATATTGTGCGGAATTCCTGTTTTGAAAGCAGTCAGTCAGTCTGTAGAGATTCCTTTTATTGCTGTTAATTAGGGATAATGTTGCTTTCAGGTGTAAATCAGATGTTAAAGCTTGCATATATAATGCGCCAAAAGGAGAACACAAAATTAAAAAATTAAGGATATCCATAAAGCAGACTATAAATAATGACAGCGAAATGTGATATCTGACAAAAATTACAAAAATTGTCTTAAGCTTTTGTCAGTAAGTGGTTGAGTAATATAATCGGCATCTGATGTCATCGCAACGTACCGTACCCTTGTGGCAATTGTAAAAACAAAGAACGGTCCAGAAAGAAATAATTTGCAG